ATCTTGCTGATGCGTATCTGCAGATCGAGGTCGCCCCAGAGTCGCGCGAATTGTTGACCATCAGTACCCACCGCGGTCTGTTCCAATACACCAGGCTGCCCTTTGGTGTCAAGACCGCCCCGACCCTATTCCAACAAACGATGAACGCAATGCTCTCTGGCATCCCTGGCACAGCTGGGTACCTGGACGACATCATCATCGTGGGTCGCTCCCCTGCCGAGCTGCAAGACCGAGTGTGCGCAGTACTCGAACGCGTGCAAGAATATGGCTTTCGCCTACGGGCCGACAAGTGCCAATTCTTCCTCGACTCCATCAAATACCTTGGATTCGTTTTTGACGCCAATGGTCGCCATCCAGATCCTGAAAACATTCGGGCCATCCAACGGATGCCTGCCCCCAAGAATGTATCGCAACTTCGTTCGTTCCTTGGCCTGATCAGCTACTATAGCGCCTTCCTATCATCGCTGCATGACGTACGGGCCCCGCTCAACCGTCTGTTGCAGAAGGATGCTCCTTGGTGCTGGTCCCCCGACTGTGAAAAGGCCTTCGCCCAGCTAAAGTCGATGCTGAGTTCAGATCTGCTGCTCACGCACTACGACCCGACGCTGCCGATCGTTGTTGCTGCAGATGCTTCCAACCACGGAGTTGGTGCCGTCATCTCACATACTTTTCCTGATGGGTCTGAAAAGGCGATCATGCATGCATCTCGCACGCCAACCCCTGCGGAGAAGAACTATGGGCAAATAGGGAAAGAAGCTCTAGCCCTCGTTTTTGCCGTCAAGAAATTTCACAAACTGTTGTACGGTCGCCACTTCACGTTGTTGACGGATCACAAACCATTGCTGTCAATCTTCGGTTCGAAGAAGGGCATTCCCGTCTACTCAGCCAGCCGACTTCAGCGATGGGCAACCATCCTTCTTGGCTACGACTTCGACATTCGCTACTGTCGTACTACAGACTTTGGTCAGGCTGACGCCCTTTCTCGCCTCATCAGCAATCAGCAGGAACCGGAGGAAGATACCGTGATTGCAGCTATTTCGATTGAGGACGGTGTGCGCCGTCAGCTATCAGACGCCATACGAGGTATCCCTGTAACTGCCGCGGACATCCGACGTGCTACTGAACAGGATCCTGTCCTCCGCCAGGCCATCACCTACGTGCAGACTTGCTGGCCAACCACTGCTCTCGCTGGCGATCTTCGCCAGCTCTTCCTCCGCCGAGCATCGCTATCTGTGGTTGACTCCTGCCTCATGTTTGCAGACCGTGTGGTGATCCCATCTTCCCTCCGACACACTGTACTACGCCAGTTCCATGCCGCTCATCCTGGTACCAGCCGAATGAAGTCAATTGCTCGCAGTTTTGTTTACTGGCAGGGTATCGACGGCGACATCATCGACCTGGTTCGACGCTGTTCTCGACGTCAGCAAGCTGCCAAGATGCCGCCTCGTCAACCTGCAATACCCTGGCAACCACCGGAGAGGCCTTGGTCACGCGTGCATATCGATTTCGCTGGCCCACTTAACGGAGTCTCCTACCTAATCTTGGTTGACGCCTACTCGAAATCGCCCGAGATTGCTCCGCTGAATCCAGCAACCGCATCTGCCACTATCGCCTTCCTACGACGCATCTTTAGCCAGCATGGCTTACCAGAAGTCCTGGTTTCAGATAATGGTTCTCAGTTTATCTCGTCGACGTTTGAAGATTTCTGCCGCCAGCACAGCATCCAGTATCTTCGCTCCCCGCCCTACCATCCTCAGTCTAACGGTCAGGCGGAGCGTTTTGTCGACACGTTTAAGAGAGCCCTCTTGAAAGCTCGTGGGGAGGGGACCACGGACGAGATAGTCCAGGCGTTCCTGTTTTCCTACAGGACAACACCGAACCCGGCGTCCCCTGGTGGCGTTTCTCCTGCCGAAGCGTTGATGGGCCGAAAACTGTGGACAACATTTCATGCCCTCGTCCCTACCGGTGCGCAGCCCGCGCAGACTTCTCCAGTTTCTCGCAGCAAGCTCTCCATCGGAACACCTGTCTTCGTTCGTGATTATCGAGCGGGGTTCCCAGACTGGATTGAAGCAACCGTAGTATCGCACAGAGGCAGTATGTTGTTTGACTTCGACGTTGGTGATGACATCTGGGTTCGCCACCACAACCAGATCCGACGGCGACATTGCAGTAACACAACTGGGCTAGATTCGGCGCCGTCACTCTCTCTCGACATCCTACTGGATACCTTCGCCAATCCGGCAGATCAGTCGGTTCCCGAACCCACTTCTGCGCCCCCTTCGGATATACCATCTTCGGTATCAGTTACCGCTCCCGTATCTCCAGGCATTAAACCACGACTAAGACGCCGGACCAACCGCGTGCGCCGATCAACACGTCTGATGCAGGTCAACCCACGGTTGGGAGCGCCTACACTCCCAAAAACAAGAGCCAGCCAATCACGGGAGGCCACGTGCGTTTTCTCCACTGCGCTGTCATCTTACTCGTGGCGCCTCTCCATTGGCTTTTCCTCTCGGGCCTGATCGATCAGCATATTCGAATTATCGACCGGCTCGTGTCGAATGTTCTTCCCGAAGGGCATTGGGTCGAACGCCGGCGAAGCACCGTAAGGCGTTATAAATACGCGTTGCTTCCAGTTCATTTTGACTTGCATTTTCCTAATACACAGTTTCGTGGCCGGTCGCGTTCTCCTTCTCTGCCGCGTTGGTAATGGGGACAAGGGTCGAGTGCGCATACTCTCCACAGGATTTCACGTACCAGGCGGGTCATAACACTTCCCACGCAAGAATCATGCATGCTCAATCATATTTTCTGTAGAACGTAGTAATATATCAGTCCAATCGTAGGAAGTAAGGTGTGTTAATAAGTCGACCGGGCGAGCTGGTCGGAAATCAAAGAAGAAGCTATGCTTTGAGGGCAAAATGTTGTCGACCTCGAGTTCTAACGTCGAAGCAGCTATGTCAGTCATTTAGTCAGTGTATTTGAGGGAAATAGGCTTACGCCTTTGAACTCCCTATTGGTACATAAAAAATCGATAAACAAGCAAAATGTGAAGAACTTAGAGCATTAAGTAAATGCATACATTGATTCACATATGTCACTAGCCACACATGGCTAAAAAGTCACACAGTCCGCTTGTTGCTGCAGCATATATCTGTCAAGGAGACATATAAATGTCTCCACAGATTGAGACATAACAACCATCTCGGCAGGTTATTCCACGGTTCCACGACACGGTTGGAGAAGAAATATTTTCTCACATTCAGTCTACCCTGTGGCACACGTAGCCTGAAAGGATGTCCCTGGAAGTGAGGTGTAATGGCGAGCTGGAAAAAGTCATCGCGCCGAAGGGCACAATCCAGGCCGCGCACGATACAGAATGTTTATATCATGTCTCCGCGCAACTGCCTATAACTCAGAGTATAGACATTAAGGTTAGTTAATCGGATCTCGTATGGCAGTGCACTTTGATCTCTTATTAATTTTGTTACTCGTCTCTGCACCCTTTCGAGTAGATTGTAATCCTGATGCGTCTACGGTCTCCAGGCCTGCATTGCATATTCGAGATGGGGCCTTATAAACGTGACGAAGACTTTGGTGAAGCAGTCTTTATCGAAAACTACGAATGCCCGCTTGATGGCATATAGCATTGAGGTTGCGGCCTTGGCCGCCTTACAGCATTATGTAGAAGGCTTTAGGCTGTCTGCAACCCAAACTCAGAGATCTTTCTTAGTTTCTGCTTCTCGGAGTAGCATTCCGTTCAGATGGTATTGCCGCGTACCAGGGGTCTGATTTCCGAGGCGCAGAATGGTGCATTTGTTCAAATTGAAGGACAAGAGCCATCTGCGGGACCACTCGTCCAATCGACAAAGATTTTCTTGGAAGTTGGTCTCATCGGCAGCATCCTGGATGACTTTCCAGATTTTTATGTCGTCCGCAAACATGGCACAATCACAGTCCAACCCATCTACACAAACATTAATGAACAAGAGAAAGAGGGTTGGTCCGAGCGCCGAGCCTTGTGCGACCCCACTCTCTATGAATGTGCACCTTGATTGCTGTTGTTCTACGCAGACAATTTGCGAGCGGCCGACAAGGAAATTTTCGATCCATTTAAGAATTTTGTCGCCGATGCCCATAATTCTCAACTTGTGTAGGAGACGCTGGTGCGGAACACTGTCAAACGCCTTCCGAAAATCAATATAGGCAACATGCACGGTGTGTTTTGCGTCCAGTGCTCGTGTCCAACTTTGCATTGTGTATAGCAAGTTCGTAACACATGATCTTCCCCTACGGAAACCATATTGTGCATTGAACAAGAGGTCGTGGGTTTCCAAGTAAGCCATCAACTCCTTTTTGATGGTTTTCTTCATGACTTTGCAGTATATTGATGTCAGACTGACGGGCCTGTAGTTTGTCGCCAGAGCACGACTACCGCTTTTGTAAAGGGGTGAAATGTAGACCGTCTTCCAGTCTGTGGGAAGAATCCCAGCATCAAACGATTTCTGGCACAGAAAGGATAGTGGCTTGGCCAGCTGTTGGGCAAGCTCCAAGAGCAGCTTTGCTGGGATCTCATCCGAACCGGGAGATTTACATTCCTACAAGCTTTTCAGTTCTTCCAAAATCGCTTCTTCTCGAAACACAATATTTTTGATAGTGGGATCTCTCGTGTTCTCAGAATTAGATGGGATAACGTCTGCTTCTCTTGTGAAAACGGATTGGAAAAGTCGAGAAATTTTCTCAGCCTTATTTGTACTGTCCTATATCTCCAAGCCGTCATCACTCCTCATAACAGAAATGGGATTCCTGTTACGTGTGCTTTTCCGCAAATAGCTGTAGAGCAATTTCGGATTTTTAACGGCTCGGTGAAGCAAATTACTCTCAAAATCACGTCGCCTCCTGGAAATCAGACTTTTCACCTTATTTCTTTGAACTTTGTATTCTGTAAACACTGCATCGTTGTTGTTCTCTCGAAATTTCTTCCAACACCTTCCTTTCTTATTGATCTCCTTTTTGAGTTCTCGTGTTAGCCACTGAGGGCGGTTGGATGTACTAGGCTTTGATAAGGGACAGCGGTTCTTCATTAGATGCAGTAAACGATCCTTCAATAAATTCCAGTCCTCGTTAACGTTTCCGGAGAAGAGAACATTCCAGTCTATTTGTGATGCCTCAGCTCTCATTTGGGGAAAGTCCCCTTTCCATATATTTGACCTCGTATTTTCTTTTATACACTGTTCAGAATACAGCAAGTACTCCCATAAAAGCACTGCATGATCACTTCGACCGAGCGGGGTTAGGTAGTACACCTCGTCTATACTTTCAGGATCTTTGGTGAAGACAGGGTCCAGACAACTGGCCTGTTGCCCTCCACGACCTCTAATTGGAAACAGGACACGTTGCGTGAGGAGAGCTTCTAGGGTTGTGTTTAGTAGACAGTAATCGAAGGTATTCATTGAGTACTTCGCATGCATATCGCTCCATTGAATGCAGGGTGCATTAAATCCCTCATGAGAACATCGTCTGGTCGGCTGGCGATCTCTTTTATGCTTTTCAGTAGACAATTATCGGTGTCGGGATCCGCCTGCGGGGGCCGGTAGATAGTTACGACTTCGAGGGACTGAGATCCCCGCGCCTTTATAGTCAGCCAAATTGCCTCTGTGTCGTCAGAAATCTTGTTGGTCCTCTTACACACTGTTAAGTTGCTCTTAACATACATGGCAACTCCTCCACCCCGGCGGCCTCTCCTACCTCTCTAAACAAATGGTATCCTGTTAGTGCTACCTCGCAATCACCTTAGTCCTCTGACAAACACGTCTGTGTTACTGCTATAACATCGGGAGGAGTGTCGGCTACCTGTTTTCCCAGTTCGTCAAGTTTGGAAAACAGACTCTGAGCATTGGCGTAAAAGAATTTTAGTTTGCAACATTCGACAGTGCTTCGTTCGTTTTGTCTCGGGTTGGCCAATATAATGTTGCTGGCGCCATCATGATGACTGGCTGGTTCCAAAACAACATCGCGTAGAAGAGAGGGTTTAGAGGCAGCTACTGCAGCTGTTGCTAATGAATCAGTTACTAAGACAATATCTTGGCCATGGACGAACATCAGGCTCTGAATGAAAGGCATGTTATTCAGCAAGGATCTGACCTTTAAAAGAAAACGTTCATGGAGAAACGCCTTTAAATTCTAAGAGAGGTGGACGACGACGTCTAATGGTTGGCTGTCCAAGGAACATATTGTTCGGATGCATCTGTGCAACTCTGCAGTGGCAGACGATTGTGGGGAAATTTTTTAAGGAACTGGACTTACCCAGCAGTCGAGTGATTAAGACGGCACTCGGATTCGCGTTTGGGTTAGGCACTCGCTTAGGTGTACTAGGGGTAGCCGGCAGAGTCGGTAGGGGTGTTTGTAAACAAGGCGTGTTGTTGTGTTCAAAGATCTCACCATCAATAGTAGTTGAATTCCCTACGGAATTAACTAAGCCATGGCATGGGGAGGAGGCAGATGATGTTGAAGATGACTTATTCGAGATGGCAACAGGTGCCGTTAAGTCCGTGTTGGTTTTTGAAATTTTCAATTTGTTTAGTATTTTCTGCGCTGGTGTGAGGTCCGAAAAAACTGAGCAATGCCATCTACGACAGAAATCTCTAGTTATCTCTTTCCTCGGAAAGATGAAGTCGACTTCCATCAAGTCCGTGAATTGGGACTGTTTGCTCAATGCAGATCCGGAGGAGGATTGGAGATGGCATAAGGCATTTAACTCAATCCACTTCAATGCTGTTGTCCAACTCAACAACAAAAAACGACCGGTCGACCTGCCTGGTTAGCCAAGGACCCGAATAGACAGTTGCGGAAGAAAAGCAAAAGATGTAGGATATTCAGGGAAACAGAGTCACCAGTGTAAATCAAAGACTTTCTTCGTCAACGAAATGCAGTCGAAAAATGTATCCGTCAGTGACGGAAGGAATTAGAATCCAGAATTATCCGACAGGCTGAACAGAAGCCTAAGATTTTTTTCACTTTATTAAGAGCAGACTGAAAATGAAGGACCCGGTCGCAGTATGGAAGGACGATAATGGTGTAGAAATTGAGAAGGCCAACCACTTGTGATGGTATTTTGCCTCGGTCCTCACTAGGGAAACGAAGTTTTGTAGTCGTTGAGTCAGCAATGCTCTTGAGACCACTGGTCCCGTGCTTGACTCCATATACTACCCGAAATCTGTCGAGGAAAGGGAGCTTCGAAATCTCAAAGAAGCAAAATCCTCGGGTGCGGACAATATACTGGCCGAATTCCTGAGTTAATCGGCAATCAAGCTCTTTAAACCACTAGCGCGCATCTTCTCTTCGTCATTCGAATTAGGGAGGCTGCCATCGAATGGGAGACAGAAACTATCTTCCCGATATACAAGGGTGGGCGTTTGCACTAATGCTAACAATTACCGACCTGTTAGCTCCACTTGCATCTGCTGTAAAATAATATAAGTCATAGTTAATAACGAAACGATGAAGTTCCTGGAACAGAACT